AACTAAGTCGAACCCTCAAATCACACAAAACAACATCAAAACACCAAATCATAAAAATTTAAATCCGAGATCGAATACTAAAACGTCAAAACTTGGTCCAACCTTTCAAATTTAAAGCTTCAAGCCGAGAATTATTTCTTCCGAACTTATTTCGGTTATCCTGAAAACCAAAATCGATGATTTACATAAGTCATAATGCATCATAAGGGGTTGGTCATGCCCTCAACCAACCAAACGAAGTGCAAATACCCAAACTGACCGATCGGGTCGTTACAATACTTCTTCTGTAGTGAGTGCCGAACCAGACTAGTGTATATGCCACACATCCACCAACTAAATGATAAACCTTCACAAATGAGGAATGATTCCCTTGGATCAATAACATGAAATGCTGTTGTTGCAGCTGCAACCGCAATGCCACCCTCAATGAAAATGGCATGACAAATGCAAGGAGTAGACTAAGGAGTATCATCATCTGTTAGGCTCTCAACATTACGCCCAAACAAGACACATTTTCAGAATTCTTGATCATATTTAATGAATAATCATGAACATCAAGCTCTTTAACTTAACAAAATATGTGAAACTATCTTGACGATTTCAATTCCATTAAACATTCTTATAAGAAATTAATAAATCTCATAAATGAGTTGAAACATGCTTCAATAGAGGAAGAATCTTGAATTATATAATAAACTTATAGCAGCTCGCGCCTAGCAGGACACTATTTCGCTCAGTAAGAAGTTTCGATGCTTAGCATTCATATCTAGATAAGAAGTAATAATAATATGCGTCATTATATTAACAAAATATGCATCGGTACATTAACATATGCACTATTCGATTACCTGCAATTAGCCTGCAACTAGCTTATAGACTGCTTATAGGGTCGCTATGAAATAGCCAGGACAAAAATAAAAAAAATTCCCTTTACTCCTTCTCTATACAGTCCATATTCTTTTCAAGCAGTGACCAACACCAAAAAAACAAAAAGAAACTAGCATCCAGCGATTTCAAAATATACTTTAAATCAAAGAAGAAGTACAAAAAGATGTTACCTCCCCCATACTTAAAATCTTACATTGTCCCAAATGTAAGACTCAAGCTGGAGGGTAGCCGGTACACTACTCATCATCGGAATTTCCATTGTAGTAACTATCTCCACCAACCATTTGGTAAAGGTCCCTCAATTCTTCCATCTCACTGTTAGAGCCTTCTCTGATTATCATCTCCTGAAACAACTCAAAATCCATGTCAACATTCTCATCAACTAGATAACCTGGATTATCAAATTCAGGTTCAGCTGCATAGTGTCCATAAACATGTGGTTGTGGTTGTACTTCGGCTGCGCCTTCTCCTTGAAAGAAGTGATTTACTTGTGGCTAAAAATTATCTTGTCCTGCATGGGAGTTGAAGTTCATATTTTGGAATGCAAAAGGAGGAACGATAGGGACGTTAGCCATTTTTAGAGCATCTGCCACGTTGTTTACAAAAATTCCAAAGTAGTATAAAATATTAGCAGTATAAGAGAAATGCTCTGCTTGTATAGCATGGACCGTAGCTAGTTCGTACCTCATCTGCTTCTGATCAGCGTAAATATTATCAATTTTATGTTCCAGCCTGTTAAAATATGTAGGGAAATCAAAAAGTAGCGGCGGGGGATCAAAGACAATGCATCAGGGGCTTCGCCATTTGAACCGACACATGGTCCTAGAGCATGAAGAGTGCTCAATCCTGTGGGTAAAACAGATCCAATATCAGCACCTAGAGGATTTCCATAAGCAGCGATTAATTTGGTTATAGTAGAACCAAAGTAGAGAGATCTCACAGATCTCTTGGTTCTATACTTCTTCATATTGGCACAACTAATTCGCTAAACGTTAATGGGTTTCTATTTCACAATTGCATAAAGCAACGCAGATCTCATAGGTCTAATTTCATTTGTATTCCTATTTGGCTCTAACCTAGAGCTTAGAATCAGCAACTAAACTTTTGCCACTATACTGAGGTTCTTTGTTGAAATCAGATTCTCTTGCCATTTGAATTATTGTGCCATTCCAGACCAAAAGGGCACAATTCTTGATCTTGATATATTTCCTCCATATTCGGACGGTTTAAAAATCGCTGCAAATCATCATCATCCGGATTTGGCATTCCATATAATCGGCTAATGATGGCTGGAGCGAAGAAAATAGTTTGTCCCCTAACCGTGGAAGTGTTGGTAGCCACATCCATGTTTGCGTAAAACTCGCGAACAAGAAATGCCACAACAGCTCCTGGATTTTGATTAAATTGCACCCATTTCATGCGCTTAATTTGTTCAAGAATCGGGCGAATTTCTTCACTATCTCCCTCAGTAAGTGCAAGTCCTCTTTCTTCAATGAAGGAACTACTTAAAATTTGTTTTTTCCATGCATCAGCTTCGGGAAAAACAAATCTGGTTCTATCATACCTATGGGAAGTATTTCTACTCCCTGATGCCATTTTCAGAAGTTAATAACTCTGGGAGATAAGTTGTAATTTTAAAAATGGTGGAAAAGGCTTTGATATTGGTAAAGATGGTGTTTACCTTTTTATTTTATTTTTTTACAGAGGGTGAAACTTAATTTATAGGGAAATAATTTAGTACACAATACCAACTTAGAGTAGTATTTTGGGGAGTCCGGAACCCAATTGTGGTTCTTTTGGACTCAAAATACATAAATAGGTGATAAAAAAAGTGACATTTTTATATATAGTGCCACAATACTTGGCGCTATACATTAACGTTAAATGTGCTGTTAATATATTGCGCCAAGTATTGTGACACTATACTGAAAAAGCTGACACGCCCAGGTATAGCACCAAAATACCTGGCGCTATACATAAATTTTTAAAAATAAAACCGTCTTCTTCATCGTCGTTCTGTTCTCTTCCTCAATATTTTACTCCTCTTTCTTCTTGGTCCCCTCATACCTGCTGCCCACGATTTAAAAAAAAAATTCTGGGTCCCCCCGTCACATAAAAGTTGTAGAACGTAGGTCCCACATTCGAGTAGAACTTCGTATTATTGTTGATTCACACTTTCGAAGTCAAAATTTCAATCTATTTGCTTTCCGAAAATTCTAAATCGAGGTATTTCGGTTTATTTTAAGTTGAAACTTTTATAATAATCATATTATTTGATTTATATGTGTTCTATTTCTGTTTGTGTTTTTTTTCCGAAACTAGCATGTTAAATTTATTCGAATTTAATATTAGTATTTTAATAAAAAAAATCTTAATTTATATATATGTATTTTCATGCCATTTTGTGTTTTATTTGCAATTAAATTTATTTGTTGTTTATGTTTAGTTTAGATTATTTTTTAGCGTAGTAAAATCTAGACCCTTTTAGTGTAGTAAAACGTAGACCCTTTTAGCGTAGTAAAATTTAGAGCCTTGTAGTGTAGTAATGTGTAGTATTTTAGCTTAGAATTCCTTTTGTTTAAGTATCTTATACTGGTAGTTGAAAATGCAAACTTTGTACAATTAAGTTAATAATTGTATCAACACACATAATTAGTAATTTGTACAATTAAGTTATTAAAAAAATATGAATTTAAATTATAAAAAAACACATAATTATTAATGATAGTTTGGTGCCACTGGGCCTCAAAATATCGAGCCCGGAACCCATATGTGTGTGTATATATATATTTGTACAATTAAGTTATTAAAAAATATGAATTTAAATTATAAAAAAACACATAATTATTAATNGGCAGATGTGCCGGGCTTGCATCGGCACACAGAGAGACATTGGTGGCTTTTTTCCGCTTCTATAGGTGACAACATATTCAAATAATATGTCCATTAGGTACAATTCTACCTAGTTATAGTTAATATTATACTTTACGTCAACTTTGTATGTTAGGTTTGGGTCTGGGAGTGATTTCTGCAGTTTCGGCCACCTCTACCACAGCTACCGGCTAATGTAGAAATTCCGCAATTCCCTCTAGCCTGTAGGTGGTCTATGCGTCGTACTCTTGCACGAGAGTATGATGCCCATCATAATCTCCCTCTCTGCAGGGATGTGTTGGATTTGCTGGAGGACGCACAGGTGAATATCTAACTAAACTTACCTGTTATAGATTAACTTAATGTTGCGCATACTAATGGTTTGTGTTCTTATTTGATAGTTCATCTAGACGCCGTACAATGATGAGGTAATAGGTACCCTGCCAGCGTATTGCACGTTCGGCCGACATATTTGGAGGGCTTATGTCCAGCTCATATGCCTCGATATTGTCGAGCATCATGCCTCCGAGCGGGTATTTCGTCAGTTTGGCCTGCCGCAGCCTATACCGACTTTGCCTGCATGGCATGCTTTACATTATGAGAGGGATGATCGGTTCAGGGCGGACGACACATTTATGGCATGGCTTAACGAGCAGTTGGGTACTTGGGACAGGCGAGGGGACTTGACCCTACCTCCGCAGCACTTTCCTATTCAACGTTATATGGCATGGTACCGCACTGTTTCCTGACTTTTTATCAGGAACCCAGTTCATCAGTCACACGGTTAGTACGTCCCATACACCGGGATACACGAGGCCCTGGTATGTTTTCTATTATTATTAATTATATACCTGTAATTTAGTGACAAATATGTAGTTTATATTTTTTACTTTGTGCAGGCGATTGGTTTGCATACCGTCTATCATATGGGGCAGCAGATGCAGAGTCATGTCCACGATCCTGTAGCCATGCAGGAGTATAGTTGTCAATTCATGGATGTGGCTAGCCAGACACTGCAGCGAGCCCGATCGGATCAGCGTTTGGCACACGAGGCTGATTATATGGACCCAGCGCAGTACCATATAGGTCGTGGTATCCCACGAGCTGGTGGTGCCCAACGAGCTGGTGGTGCCGGACGACGTGGTCGTGGGCGGAGAGGAGGTGGTTCCCAATAAAGGGGCGTTGAGGCTCCTGCTGATGATGTTGCTGCTGATATGGCATGTGGCATGCATGAGACGGACATGCCGTCTTACAACCTCGGAATTTATCGCACTCCAGTGCCATCGCAGGTGACCCCATCGGGTCAATTATTGATCACGAGCTCGGATATTCAAGGAGTGGATTGGGGTAGATACTTCCCAGGCCCTTCTACCACTGTTGAGGATCGACCGACCCGAGATTTTTATAGTGGGCGCCAACTGAGTTATGGCTCCACATCACATGCGCAGGTATGAGTTTATTAGTATTGAATTTGAATTTGTTTTAACTGTAACTTATTTATTTTCTTTAACTTTATTAATTTCCTTTTTAAGGCTTCATGCGATGCAGCGACAGATGACTACATTCAGGATCTAGAGACGATGATGGTAAGACAATATAAATTATTGTGAATTGTTATGTAGTTTTCTATACTAAGTTTCATATTATTATGTAGCCTTCTACTGGAGCTGACAGCACCACCGATACATGTCATCCTGCGCCGCATCCGGCTATACGGAGACGACTTGATGATGATGATCCTGATAGCGTACCCGGGCGGGAGGGGATGCACCTTAGGCCAGCGGCTGCATTGAGACACACCGGATGTGGGACATATTGACATGGTGTAAACAATATTTTTGTATACATTAACAACAATATTTAATCGAATATGCCCATTACTTGTTTTAGTTCTCCATTCGTTTGATAGTTTCATAAAATAAAATTTAGAACGACACAAGCACTTAAACTTAACTTCCA